GAGTCCTGGCGTACGTGGAGGCGGAGAATGGGACGAGGGTCGCGTCCTCCACCGTGGAGATTGAGCTCAAGATTCACGGTGAGCGAGAAGAACTCTTTAAAAAATATTTTCTCCTTATTTTTTTTATTGTAAGGGAGAGAGTTGGGTTTTTTTGTGTTGTAAGTTTTTTGTGTTTTTTTTTCTTATTTTTGTTGTAAGCGAGAACATTTTTTTCTTCTTTGTAGTGTAAACTAATATTTGTCGTTTTTTCCCCCTTCTTTATGTTGCAAGCAAGAACGGTTTTCTTTCTTCTTTTCCTCTCGCTTTGTTTGAAATGTGAAACCTGAAAGCGTATTATGATGATTAAGCGTAAGGCAATGAAGCTCTTTGAAAACTTCATTCTTCTTTAAGATGAATGCGTATTTGCAAGCACTGTTTCACATTTTGGACATTTTACTCTGTTTTCATATGCTGTCATATTTTGTTACAACGAAATATTTTGGTCATTGGACAGTGTAAATTATGCTTTAGATTCTTTTTTTTTTTTGGAATGCTAAGATTTTGTGCTTGTATGCTTATATTTTAATGCATGCATTATATTATAAAAACGTTGTTTGTTAGTTCTTATCTATGTCATTGTTTGTAAAATTATAAAGGATTATAGCCTTTTTAATTAATTAAGTAAAAATGAAATTTGGTCGCTGTTAAAAAATATAGCTATTTGTCAACGTGCAGTTTTTGATCAACGAGGTAAAGTTCAATTTCCTTTTCTCCCACAGGTATACCCAATGCCAAAATCTGGGCGAAGTCAGCGGACGCTAACCTTCCAGACGGAATGGTCACGGGTCGCGTCGGTCAGCAGGTCAAGATGACCTGTCTGGTGAAGGGGTACCCGCGTAGCAACGTCACGTGGTTGTATCAGGTAACTGCCGCAGGCTTTGTTTTATTGACCAGCTGTTTAAGTGTACTACCAACACAATTCTTAACAAATGTGGGGCAGCGCACAGGAATCAGGCTCTCGTCAAAATAATCAAAGTGAATTAACTCGCATTTTTCCGTAGGTTTGTGAATTTTTATCAAATTTATGTTTTTTGGCCCAACACCTTTTATACCCATTAAAGAACTCTTTTCTGTGTGGATTTTTCTGAAAAGCGTTGATTAAAGGCACAAAAATGTAAATTTTCAATTACCACGGACTCTTAAGCTAAGGAAATAACTAATCTTCGGCGGCCATTTTCTCACTAATTTTACCTCTGAAAACAGGTGACCCCCCTCCTCCTTCTTTCGCAAATATCTCAACTTGTATTCAAGATAAATTGACATTTTTTTCATCCAAATAAAGCCAACTGAACAAGCTTTAAGATGATACCAATAATTCTACATACCCAAAAATTGACGACAGCCTGATTCCACCTCACTGCCTCACAAATTGTTTTTTATTCATCAATGCCTCTCACTCCTGGCAGGGTATAGGCCACATACAAGCTCCTTTCTCTTATCTCTGTCCTGGGCCGTCCTTCCAAGTGAGCTTCATCTCTCCCATGTCTCTTTCCACACTTCTCTTCCATGTTTCCCGTGGCCTACCCCTGTCTTGTGCTCCTTGTGGGCTCCGCTGTTTTTTAATTTGTGATATCAGTTGCATGTGCTCAAGAATTTAAAAAAAAAGAAATTTCAAGTTCTAAATGGTTTTAATGCTGTCAAGCGGGGATCTATACTATACGAATGCTATATCATTATCATTATTATTATTATTATTAGGCTATTATTATTATCATTATATTTTTAAGCTATAATTATTATTATTATTATTATTATTATTATTATTATTATTATTGTTGTTGTTGTTTATTGTTTTGTTTTTCA